CCAATGAAGTACGAACTGCACTGAAAAACTTACGATCTAACGACAATATCGTCATTAAACCTGCAGACAAAGGCAGTGCAGTGGTTGTCATGGATAAATCTGCCTATATTCAAGAGGCTGAACGACAACTTGGCGATGCAAGGTTCTACCAAAAACTAGACTCTGATCCTACAACATCTTTTAGCAGAGAAATAACTGATAGTTTGGTAGAAATGCACAACGATGGTTTCATCGATGAAAAGACTCTAGAATATTTGAAACCAGAAAATCCAAAACCGGGCAGATTTTATCTTTTACCTAAAATTCATAAGGCCAATAACCCAGGAAGACCTATAGTTTCAGCGAACGGTCATCCGACGGAAAAAATATCGGAATTCGTTGACTTCCATCTTCGTCAACATGTTGAGGACTTACCATCTCACATCAAAGATACTACCGATTATCTTAGAAAATTGCAGGCCTTAAATCCACTCCCCTCCGACACGACACTTGTCTCTATGGACGTCACCTCCCTCTACACGAATATTCCACATGCAGATGGCATTGATGCATGTAAAGAAGTTTGGAATTCCCGACCAGTGAAATATCCACCTACTGAATGCCTGGTCAAAATGCTCACGCTGGTACTCAAAAACAACAACTTCACTTTTGATGGAGACCATTATCTGCAAGTTAATGGAACTGCTATGGGCACCAAAATGGCTCCATCATATGCCAACATATTTATGGGCAAATTAGAAAAACAACTCCTTGAATCTTCCATCGAAAAACCGCTTTCCTGGTTTAGATTTATAGATGATGTGGATATGAAATGGAATAAAAGTGACGAGGATTTAGATACATTCATCACTCATGCCAACAACATACATCCAAGTATCAAATTTACTCATGAGAAATCTAAATCCAAAATCACCTTCCTCGATACCTCCAGCTCGCTCACAGATGGCATCATATCCACTGATCTATATTCTAAGCCTATTGACACTCACCAATATCTGTCCCCTAAAAGTTGCCATCCTGCTCATTGTACTAAGAGCATCCCGTACAGTCAGGCACTCAGAGTCAAGCGAATATGTTCCAACTCAGAAACAACTAAAAAACAACTACGTCAACTCGAAACCCGCTTGAAGAGAAGGAGCTACAAACAAAAAACTATCCAAAAAGGCTTTCAGAAAGCGGAAACTATTCCAAGGAGTAAACTGTTAGAATACAAATATAAAAAGAAAAATAAAAGGACTCCATGTGTTCTTACTTACCACCCATCTCTCAAAAACAGCTTCGGTGTCATTCGTGAGCATTGGAAAACAGTTGAAAAGAATTTCAAACTATCCAAGATTTTTCCCGAGCCTCCCATGATAGCTTATAGGCAACCCAATAGTCTGCGTAACCTGCTGGTGCGGGCTGAAGTGTCTGATAATAGAAGTACTTCTGGAGAATGTCGTTCGTGTGATGAAAAACGCTGCAAATGCTGCCTACAGATGCATCACTCATCAACTTTTCACAGTAAGGCAACCGAAAATAACTATAAGATATTTTGCAATGTTAACTGCAAAAGTATGAATGTTATTTACATTCTAGAATGTTCGGTTTGTGGCCTCCAATATGTTGGTGAGTCAAAGCAGCCTTTCCACAAACGCCTCAATGGCCATAGGAGTGATATCTCTAAGGAGCCACTTCTCCCAGTTTCTCAGTATTTCAGACAGTCTGGTCACACACTTGATGACTTTAACCGCATGAAGATCCTAGTAATTGAACAGAACATTCACTGGAGTGATGCCCAGCGACAAGTTCGGGAAAGCTTTTGGATAAAGGAACTAAATGTACATCATCCAAACGGCATCAATAAAAAATACTAAGTTTTATTTTTCACTCATTTTGGGTTGTAAATATACACAGTCACGTATATTTGAGTATTGAGTTTTGTTTTATATTATGATGTTCAGGATTTTGGATTAAATCAATAGACCAAAACTTACCTGTATTATTGAGCTATTTTTATACATATTATCAGTATTGTTAAAATAATTGACACCGAAGAAGGCTATTTGTTGAGCCGAAATATTTGTCAACACGATTTATTAACAACATCTTCGTATAATACCATCTTATATTAGTATCGTTGTGCAAATCTCTAGACTTATATAATTTTTTTCCTTATCTGCACAGTATCGTCTATTCTAGACGATCCGGTACATAGTAAATTTGCTGGTTGGTCCTTTTTATAGACTTCTATATATATATACAAATTTTTGCACCTCATGTTTGCGGTATACCATCTTTTCCGCAAGTTTATTGTTTTCTGTTTGGTAATAATTTAATAATAAGATCTGTTTTGTTACATCTTGTGATCCGTTTATTTGGCAATCGCCAATGGCAGTCAGCAGGGTTTAAGAACATCAGTTGTTCGACCTGCTAGTCAAATGCGTTTTGTTAAAATATAATTTTTCACTCATTTGGTCATTTGGAAAATGTTGTTTGTGCTGTATTTAGACCCCTCTACCAAGAAATTTGTTTTGCATGCACACGTATAAAAATTGCGGTTTTTATCCAACGCAATCATAGGTTTGAACGTTGTTTTCAATTTAGACTTGTTTATATTTTTTCGTTTGGGCTTGTATTATATTTGCCTTCGGGTTTATATGATCCGTTCATCCTATTTTGACTCTTTCAAAATTCAAGAGTCTATCCTAAATTGAGGTAAATTATATGGCCTTCCAAATACCTTTTCGATTCCTAACATCACTGAAGAGACATTAATTGTCGAAATCCGGATATGGTGTACAAATTTTTGCACCTCATGTTTGCGGTATACCATCTTTTCCGCAAGTTTATTGTTTTCTGTTTGGTAATAATTTAATAATAAGATCTGTTTTGTTACATCTTGTGATCCGTTTATTTGGCAATCGCCAATGGCAGTCAACAGGGTTTAAGAACATCAGTTGTTCGACCTGCTAGTCAAATGCGTTTTGTTAAAATATACTTTTTCACTCATTTGGTCATTTGGAAAATGTTGTTTGTGCTGTATTTAGACCCCTCTACCAAGAAATTTGTTTTGCATGCACACGTATAAAAATTGCGGTTTTTATCCAACGCAATCATAGGTTTGAAAGTTGTTTTCAATTTAGACTTGTTTATATATATATAGCATTGACCAAACAATGAAAATGAGATCAAGGTCAGATGAAACCTGCCAGACTGACATGAACACATTACAATAATTCCATTCAACAAATATAGTTGACCTATTACTCATAGTACTTGAAAAATCAACCAAAACACAAAAACTTAACATTGATCAATGAACCATGAAAATGAGGCCAAGATCAGATGAAACATGCCAGACTGACATGTACTCCTTACAATCATTTCATACACCACATCTAGTTGACATACTGCTTATAGTATCTGAGAAACGGACCAAATCATGTAACTTTAATCTTGACCAATTATCCATGAGATGAGGTCGAGGTGAGGTGAACCCTGTCTGACGGACATGTAGACGTTGCAAGGAACCAATATACCAAATATAGTTATCATACTACTAATACAAAAGTGAGAAATTCACATTTAAAAAAAAATATATATATTTCTTTTTCAAGCAATCGCTAAACCATGAAAATGAGATCAAGAACAATGGTCACATGCCAGAAAGAAACTTCGTCAAAAGGTATCTGCATACAATGTATGAAGAATCCAGGTCTTCTACCCTCTGAAATATAAAGCTTTATACAAATAGTTTATGCCGCCGCATAGTAATCCCTTTGTCCTAAAATTTAACCCTGGGTTTTTTTCTGTTGTTCATCCTGTGGTTAAATGAACGTATTTATACTTTTGGTATTTAGCTGAATTTTGTCTCCGAATATGATATTAGATTTGTCTCCGAAGGCGTCACAAAAAAAAAAAAAAAAAAAATTGAAATAGTCTTTCAAGACGTCATAATTATTTGGACTAGATTTAACCTTGCTTCGGACCTCTGTTAAAATTTTAACCAAGAAATAGTTTTGTCTAAAAATACGATTCCCTGTTTAATACTAGATAAGAAAGGTCACTTAGCGTTTGATTCAATATATATTCTTCGTTTTCTACGGCCATTTGTAATCAAAAACTGTTTATTACGTTTTACAGTCCTCCCCCTTTTTTGCCTCGAGGTTTACGTCTACCTATTACACATTTTCAAATCAACATCTTCTTTACCCTGCCATCTTCTATTTTAATAAACAAATAAAATAAAACATCTTTTAGTAAGAAAATGTATTTATCTATAATCAAAACATTTACGATCTTACCAAACAAAATGTGCTCTCTGTCACGTCCGGGTTGTTGTGGTTCTATTTAATAAACGTAGACGTTGAAAAGCGTATTGTTTTGATAACAATCATATTTATTGAAGAGACATTTTTCTAGGACCGGAGAATAGTGTTCATAATTCTTAATTTGATAAAAATGAACACTCATTGAAAATTTAACTATGGGTCACGTAGGATTAAAAAGAAGTTGAACAACGGAATTTTAACCCTTGGTTACGTAACACTCAGCCTGGGTTATATTTAACCAAGGGTTATTTTAACCGAGAGATAAACAATCGGGTCCCGGTATTTCTATGTCAACCTCAACGAGTAGCGCGAGGCACAAAAAGGAAAGTTGGACTTTTTTGTGGATAACTGAATATATTTATGTCACAATTCAAATGAGTGGCATTTATTAAAAGTTAAAAATGAATGCATATTAATTTCAGAAGAAAATTTCGACTATTTGAATACAAAATTTAAGTAACAAGCTGTACTGTGAGTGATAGAATTATCCAATAAATAGAACTAAGAATAAGAAACAAAAATGAAAGCAATATGGACATTTTTCTTATTACAGGTTTAATCTTGTCATGTGCGTACATATCTATATATATAACAGAAAGAAACATATTTATGTTAAATTTTGTTAAGTTTAATATGAATTTACACACAATTACGGGTAGTTATCATAATTGCAAGCTTCTATCTTACCTAATTTCCCATTTCTGTTTATATTGCTCACATCAAACTTCCCTGTAGTAATTTATAAATAAACTGGATTAAATCGGGTGAATATATTTGTAGCTCCGGTAGGTAAATAAAACTTTTAACGGATATTCGAGTATGTACCTGTGAAAATATTTGATTTCTTTTGTTCCGTTTTTTTCTAACAAGCAACATGTTTGGATTTATTTTGAATTATGGAAATATGTGACTGACGTTTACTTACGAAATTATAGAATTTATATGGTGTCATCCTGGTTTGCCCACATTTAATTGCAGGTTTATAAAAACATAGGGTGTTTTGTTGTTTTAACAATTATAGTTTATTTCTGAATTAGTCATATTTTAATCTTTATTTTACCTGTAAAATTTTATAAAAGATACTTGAATTTGACAAATATTAAAACAAAAATACAAAAAATGTTTATAAGTTTGACAAACTATTGACATTTTTTTTAAATTGTTGGTACATTTCGAAACAAAATATGTAAAAAGTAAATAAATGAAACTTGAGAAGAAATAAGTGTCATTTAAAATTCTTTTTATTTATTCACTGTATTTATTTTATTTTTATTTTAATAAATACTTTGTTCTGAAATTACATCCAAGCTGTTAATAATTTCACACACAGAAGTAGCACCATGCTGCATAAATAAAGAAGCTTGCCCAGTGCCATAACTGAACTTGCTAAATCAGCAATAGAAAATGACAAAAAAAAGGAAATGTGGACACTGTAAATTAGCTGGACATTGTAAATAAAATAAAATAGGAAAAGTACATGCCCAGCATTGCCTTAACAATAAATTATGAGGATTGTTAAATATATATAATTATTTCAAATCCTTTACTTCATTTTTTTTAAAGAGATATGTTGACAGGGTATCATTTCTTTTTGTTAATTGTTTAACCTAGATATATATATATATATGTATATATATAAATCAGTCTAAATTGAAAACAACGTTCAAACTTATGATTGCGTTGGATAAAAACCGCAATTTTTATACGTGTGCACGCAAAACAAATTTCTTGGTATTGGGGTCTAAATACAGCACAAACAACGTTTTCCAAAAGACCAAAAAAGTTAAAGAGTCTATTTTAACAAAACGCATTTGACTAACAGGTCGAACAACCGATGTTCTCAAACCCTGCTGACTGCCATTGGCGATTGCCAAACAAACGGATCACAAGATATAACAAAAATGATCTTTATTATTAATTCAATACCAAACAGAAAACAATAAACTTGCGGTTTTATTTCAATTAGACAGATGTAATCACAAACACAGCTGTTGTATGCTGTTTTTTTTTTTTTTAATTTTCACCAAATACCAGAAACAAGGGCAAAATTGTTATTTTTCACTATTGAGATAAAACATTTATAACAAAAGGCTATTTCTTATAAAACTACAGCCCGTATCACTCTGAAATTTGCAGTAAGGTTTCTCTTACAAATAGGTACTTATTGAAAAAAAATCTCATTTTGCACCATGGACCTCATTTGGACCCAAAATTTCATGTTTGGTCACATATAGTGCCCCTTATTACTTGATTTTTACCATAGTGCTTAATTTATTTCCTTATGCAATGCAAGTATAAATTTGATTCATAAATAATATAAATTATGTCTGCAATAAAAGACAATTTTATCATATATTGGTGTATTTATATCATAATTGTTTTGTTGTTAGTTGTATGTCAAATGAATCGCTTGAATTGATATTAAATTATTGAGAAAAAAAAATTCGATTTATTTATCATTTATCTATAGAAATATAAACTACAAAATGAAAAATACCTGAATATATAGAAAACACAGATAAACTATAAACCTATTAAGTTGGAACAGACTATACAATTGTATGCTCATTAAACCTTTTGTCTTTTTTGTTTTCTTTACTAATAGATAATTGGTATAATTAAATGTGGGCAAACCAGGAGTAAACCTATATATCATTATTTCTTGTTTGATACATAAACACCACTTTAATAAAAAAAAATGTCCAACTATTTTTGGTATTTGCATTGTCCAAAAGCTCTACTTAGGCCGAATACGATTCCCAAGCAAGTATAAGTTAGCCAGGAATATGACAAGACCGGTAGGATAAATATAAGAAATTACTTAGACCACTAGGGACATGATTTTTTTTATGATTTTATGAAAAATTGTGTACAACACATCAAACGACTGTAAGCTAGATAACCAATGGCAAATCTAGAATTTTCAACAAAGGTTGGACTTCCAAACTGTAAAGTTTCGCTTGAAAAGGGTAGAGGCAACTGTCAAAAAGAGAATCGTTAATCACACAGAAATTTTCAACCACGAGGTGGTGGCCGGGGTACCTTAATCCCATTGGTTCCGCACATGAATATTGTAAGTTTTACGGAACTGCTCTTCGTTTATGCTTAAACAAGTTATACATGTTTTCATTCATTGTACCTTATGTTGAAGGGTTTTATAAATCGTACGAGGTAGAAATTGTGTGCTCTTTCCACAGAAAATGCTCCAACGGAGTTATGAGTAAGAACGACTGAAATCGACACTACGAATTGGTTGACCGATACAATATCTCGGTGTCTCAACTCGTCGTCTGATCTGAAGTTTTACCGAATGTGTGCTATTTTTAATTGTGACATTTTGACTTCGCATTTGTTAATTCGCATAGCAGGAGACGCTTTCACTGTCGACGCAACCGGTCTCGCTTTTTCATGCAATCCCCTCGTTGTTCGTTTGTAACCTTGATTTGTCTCTTCAAAATCAAGTTACGACATTTGAACATCGGTAAACTACTGTCGCCTTAATCTACATGGGGTGGATTCTACAACTGTACATTGTTTAATAACCCGAGAGTACTATATTTATCAAGCCATGATGTATGTCTTTCTTTCTGTACCAAGTCAGGAATATGACAGTTGTTTTCCATTCGTTTGATGTGTTTGAGCTTTCTATTTTGCCATTTGATATGGGAATTTCCGTTTTGAATTTTCCTTGGAGTTCGGTAATTTTGTTATTTTACTTTTTGTCACATTAAGGTTCTTTATAACAAATGGACAACTATGGGCAGTATTTACAACTTGAAAATAACTCCGAGTACAAAAAAAAAACCTGTACAGTTTGAAAAGTCACAAAATAAAAAATAAATAAATGGAGAATGTGTCCACGGGACACAGATGATGCCCCCGCTTGCATATAACGTTTAAAAGGAGCATAACTCGAGAATGATAAAGTGACGTCACTCAAAACTTTTATCTGTGTTTTGTGGTAATAAGCATAGTGTATTAGTTTCATAACATTTGGTTGAGGCAATTAAAAGTTAGAGAACGGAAACAAATTTTGGGACGTATGCACGAACGGATCTGTCGTTATCAGGAAGCCTCAAACCTAAATATTTGAAAACCAGTGATGTAAAAATACGGACAAGCGTACCTTAGTTTCTTAATAGTTTCTCAATTCATCAACTGGGAAGCTTTACAATGTATGTTATAAATAATATTAGTACCAAAGCACAAACAGTCCACCCGCAGAGGTATCGACCCAGTAACTGAAATTGACACTGTAACTTTCGTGCTTCCAATCAATTTTAACCGATATACCTTCATTAGAAACGGAACAACATATACATTTGAAAATTAGGGGTTAAAAATACGTAGAAAAGGGAAGAGCTATATGATAAAAATAGACACAAAAGAATAGCCAAATTCATTACAGGTAAACTTTGCCTGGGGCTTGAATCCTATTTTCTAAATGATTTCTTAATGTATCACCTGGGCCTTTTAGAAATTTATGTTATAAATCATGTCAATACCAAAGCACTGACTATTGAGCTGATGATATCATCGGGTACAAACAGTCTACCAGCAGAGATATAGAGATAAAGTGCTAGTAATAAAAAAAAATATAGATTTTGTGCGTCCAAAACGCTTTCCTGGATTTACCTTAATCCGGAACGGTAACACCTTACAATTTGAAAGTCAGGGATGAACAAAAAAGTAGAAACGTTATGAGTTATATGTACAAAAGGGGCATACAAAGATCGCCAAATTATTCTACCGTTAACTTTGCCTCAAAGAGTTGCAACATCATACTTTCCCAATAACTTCTAAACGTATCAACGGATAATTTAAGAAATGTTTGTTATAAATAATATCAGTACAGAAGCACTGGGTACTGCGCTGATGATATCTTCGGGGACTAACAGTTCACCAACAGAGGTATCGGTCAGTACTAGTTAATGAAAGGAACACTATAAATTCCGTGCGACCGAAGCGCTTTTCTGGAGTTACCTTTATTATTAAAACGCTCTTAAAAGAGAGGCGAAAAATACCAAAGGGACATTCAAACTCCTAAGTCGAAAATAAACTGACAACACTATGGCTAAAAAAGAAAAAGACAAACAGACAAACAATAGACAACATAAAGACTGAGCAAAACGAACCCCACTAAAACCTGGGGGTGATCTCAGGTGCTCCGGAAGCAGATCCTGCTCCACATGTGGCACCCGTCGTGTTGTTCATGTTAGTACAAACCCGGTAATAAGTCTAAATCGGTAGAACACATTCGGGGAAAAGGGGACGGGATTGTAGTTACGACAGTTGGAACATATCCGCTATCATCTGTGAAACGGATATTCATAACGGTCAACCAACTCGTGATGGCGTCCGTAAAATTTACGAAGGAATGATTTCAACTTCACCTCTTGGAACTCTTGCTTTAATAGCTTCCCTGTGAGCAGCAACCCACTATCAAGAAAATCATGATAGGAAATACAAGCCCTGGAATATCGTAACTTCTGGGAGATATATACTCCGTATGCAGGCGCTAATTCATTTATCAAGCAGTTTATGTAATGTAATTTACACACAAAAACGTTATTATTTAGGGCTTTATCTGCAGGGACAATAACATATTTGTCATGGAAGTAGGACAAGTGTTTTGCAACATTTGGGTCTCTTAAGATTGATGTATTATGGGTTTTCATAGACCCATTCAGATTCTTAATTCTGATTTGTATCTTAGTACATTCGGAAAGAGTATCTACGTCTTCTTTCTCGCGTTTAACCCATTGCCTGACATAATCCTCGATTGAAAACATCAGTATTTTTGAAGTTGTGTTTCCAATTGATGGATTTAGGTATATTTTGATGGATATTTTGGACCTTTGGATAATACATTTCGCAGAGAAGTGTTATTGACAATGTTTAGGTCACCAGCAATAAAGTGACCAGCCGGATTATATATGAATGGGGAACTAGCACAGGGGCAATCAGGAGGTTTAGACTTGAAGTCGTCAATATTGAGATCCTGCAACACGTGTTTGTAATTGAAA